TTTTTTGAGATAGAGTCTCACCCTGTCACCCAGGCTGGAGTGCAGTGGTGCAATCTGAGCTCACTGCAGCCTCTGCCTCCTGAGTTCAACCAATTCTCGTGCCTCAGCCTCCCGAGTAGCCTGGATTACAGGTGCCCACTACCATACCCAGCTAATTTTCATAATTTTAGTAGAGATGGGGTTTTACCATGTTAGCCAGGCTGGTCTTGAACTCCTGACCTCAGGGGATCGCCCACCTCCACCTCCCAAAGTTCTGGGATTACAGGCGTGAGCCACTGTGCCTGGCCACTTGTATGTATGTATTTTATTCAGAGGGAACAGAAATAACTTTCTGTTTTGTTTTGTTTCAAGCTGCCCTCTTGCTTAATATTTGCTATCTCATGTAGTTACTGGTTTTTCTTCTCGTTTCTAACAATTCCATGGTATAATGATATATCAGGAAGAGTTACTTTTGGAGGTCTCCTGTTAACTTCCTTGACTGGCTCCATTTTTATTTTGTTATTGATACAGTTGAGACTAAAATGCCACCCCATATCTGTTTAAATTCCCTGTATGGAAGAGTTGTGGACAATTCATAGAAAAAAAAAGACCAAAGGTAGATTGTATTCTTCTCATCTTCCAAGAAGATTTTATTGTCTAGTTACTGTGTTTCAGTATTTGGTATTCACAACTTCCTCATGAAACTTAAAACTCTCATATGAGAAAACTCAAAGGGGTGTGAGTTTCACATGTATGAAGATCATTAATCATTTCAAAATGTTCATTTCATGTGCCTTAAGGGTTGGCCTCTGTTACAGCAGCACCATTTCCAACGTCTAGCTGTGGATACTTCTGCTTAGATATCTCCCTCCTGGCATCAGTTCACTCATTGCTGTGTGAATAACACAGAATGCTTTTGCCCAAAAGTGAAAAAATGCCCAATGAACAGTGACTTACACAATCAGCGTCTTTATTATTCCACATGAGGAGCAGCGGGCTATCAGTTAATCATCGCTAGGGACCCAGGTTCCTTCCGTCTGTCTTCTCATCCCCATCCTCATTTCCTCATGATACCAGGATGGCTGCCACTGCTTGCCCAACCATCACATCCTGTCTCTCCCCATTGTCTCCAAAGGCAGGAGGGGTAATTTCTTCTCAGGTGTGCCGGCAACCTTTGCCCCAAAGCTCCAGCTCACAGCCCTTTATGCCCCATGGTCCAATTTAGATCACATGCCCAGGACCCAGTGGCCAGCAAAGCTCCCCAGGCATGGGCCAAGGAACACCAGGGCAGAGAGGGCATGGCTGTTAGGAGATGGCCTGGTGACAGCCCCCAGATCAGCATCTCTGGTATTCAAGGTCTGTTTTCAACAACTTTCATTGAAAGAGCAGGACTGATAGAACTGTTAGCGGTGCCCTGGGTGTACATGGTGCTCCCACGTTTTGTGTGTGTCTGAGTGGAGCAATAATCTTCTCCCTCGTGGGCTGGTGTGTGGTTTTACCAGCATGCTTACACTTCAAACTTCATAATTGCAGCTGGGCACAGTGGTTCAGGCCTGTAACCCCAGCACTTTGGGAGGCTAAGGAGGGTGGATGACCTGAGGTCAGGAGTTTAAGACCAGCCTGGCCAACATGGTAAAACCTTGTCTCTAATAAAAATAAAAAAAACTAGCTGGGTGTTGTGGCGCACACCTGTAATCCCAGCTACTTGAAAGGCTGAGACAGGAGAATCACTTGAACCCAGGAGGTCGAGGTTGTGATATGCCAAGATCGTGCCACTGCACTCCAGCCTGGGCGACAGAGTGAGACTCTTCTCAAAACAAAAAATCTCGTAATTGCCCAGGCTGATCTTGAACTCCTGGACTCAAGCAATCTGCCTGCCTCAGCCTCCTAAAGTTCTGGGATTACTACCCAGCCACTATGCTCAGCTGTGAGTATGTTCTTATATAGTGTGCCTACAAATGTCTGAACTACTTTTTCCCATATGTGGTTTAAGACTGCCCACCTTTACAAGATAGCAGTAGTGACAGCAAACCTTGGGTACCTGCTGTGAGCCAGGTGAGGGACCAGGCCAGTATTGTATGTGTTTCATGGCCAAGTTCTCTCAGCAGACCTGTGAGTCAGGTTCAGGTGTCCATGCTGTTTTACAGGCCCCACAGCGAAGCTACCTGCCCTGGGTCACACAATTAATTGATCTGTGCTTCAGCTTTAAAATCTGATTTTTTTTAACTCTGTCATACTGCGATTCACTGATGCAAAAGAAACAGGAAAGAGCCAGCCCAGAAGGGGCCCCTGAAGAGGAAGAATATGCGACCCCCACAATGGGATCTTTTTCTTTTATTTTTTTGAGACAGAGTCTCGCTTTGTTGCCCAGGCTAGTGTGCAATGGCGTGATCTCAGCTTACGGAAACCTTTGCCTCCCGGGTTCAAGCAATTCTCCTGCCTCAGACTCCCGAGTAGCTGGGATTATAGGTGCACGCCACCACATCTGGCTAATTTTGTATATTTTCTTTTTAATAGAGATGGGGTTTTACCATATTGGCCAGGCTAGTCTCGAACTCCTGACTTTGGGTGATCCGCCCACCTTGACTTCCCAAAGTGCTGGGATTACAGGTGTATACCACCACACCCAGCCTGACCAGGACCTTTTCAAGAAAGAGATGAGAGGTGATCGTTAGTGTTTGAGTGGCTGGCAGGTGTCATGTTTAGTGGTCACAGTTCCCCTGGAAATGGTGGTTTCATTGGTGTTCTCACCATAAATGCCAGGAGTTATGGGATAAGGATGATGGAAATCACAGCGGAGTAGTGTGTGCGTGGCCCTTCTTAGAAGTATTGCTCAGCTCACTGGGCGCAGTGGCTCACGCTTGTAATCCCAGTACTTTGGGAGGCCGAGGCAGACAGATCATGAGGTCAGGAGATTGAG